GGAGATTAAATTAAAAGGTTGTTCTTGGGTTTAGATTCGCTTTAAGGACCTGCTATGGAGATGCCAAATGCCTCTTTGAAAATATGAATCAAGTATATAAGCAGCAAACTAGAAACATCCTGATATAGACATATTGGACAATAGTTATAATATATTGGAACAAGTGTGCTAATAAAAACATTAGTGCATGCAGAGAATCAATGACAACCACTGAACACGCTTTTCATAAGAGCATGTATTCATTTCTGTTACCAAACCTCAGTGGTCTGCTACAAAGTATCTTTTTATAGTATCAAAGATCGCCTGGAGGAAAGTTAAAATTTACAACAGGGCGTTCTCTGCCATCTGCAAACCGCCAGCATAATTATTTTATTCCTCAGCAGATCCTGCACACACTAGCAGTTGTAACAATGCTATTCATACCTGGGATCTGGGTGTACAATGAAAGGAATGCACACAGGTAAATGCCACTCATCCCCCATAGAAAAGCACCCCGAACCAGACGCAGTTCCCCCATTCTTGCACACTCTCAGCTCTTTGCAGCTTTCTGGATGAGTCACAACGTGGACGGCCCGCACATGCGTAATACACATCGCCGCTCGCCCCTTCAAGGGCGCATGCGTCATACTACCAGGCTGTCAGCGGATTTCCTACTGCGCAGGCGCAGTGCTTCACCCGTTCGCGCGGCACCGTTCATGCTGGTCAGCCCTATTCCTGCGCATGAGCCTCATGGAGGTGCACCAAAAATGGAATTTCTGTGAGCCAGTCACAAAAAGCGGAACAGGAAATGGTTTTCTAGAACTTTTTCCCTGTTCCCGAAATTTGTATACATTTTTGCAAGATTTATTTGTGATTGATATAAAGAAACTGCAGCAGTTGAAAGTTTTGGAACATAAAAACTTACAAAAGAAAAAACAAAACTGTGAAGTTGGCCCGCTGCACTCTTTAAAATGTATGATTTAATGCATATTTTGTTTATTGTGAATATTAGGGAGGAGGATGAGTGAAATTAAAGTGACCTGTCACATCACTTTAGCATAAGGACTGGTCTGCAATGGTTGTAAAAAGCTTCCGTAACCCATGGGGTCAATTCACACTACAAAGCGTGCGCTAACACAGTTGTATTGCGCTTTAGAACCGTGTGAAGTGCAGTCTATTGATGCACGTTGCATTGCATTTTTAAAATCTCTTGTGAGGTCACTTCCTGATTTTTCTTTTTATATTGCTTTGCGCTGATGAATGCGCTGAAAAAACAGAGCATGCTCTACTTTTTTTCAGTGCAGCGCAATGCTGCACAATGCAATGCGCTGGAGTGGACTGGCTTCATTGAATTTAATTTTTTTAAAATTATGTGTTGGGATTGTGTTGAAAGTCGCATCCCAATGCATATGGCATGAATGGACTCAAGGCTAATTCACACAGGTGCAAAGATCTGTGTACCATAAAATTAGTGGGATCTCTGCACCAGAAGTTTTGCATACAGCCCATCTGGACACATCAATGGCAGGCAGCGGTGGTACGCTGGTGAACGCTGCTTTGAGTGTATACTTACATATACAGTAGGTATGGATGTATCTCCCTGAACACAGGCTGTCTGCATTCACATCCGTATCTTATGCAAATATACCCTAGGCCTGTCATTGTTCATGAAAGGAGGGCTGCACGCAACACCTTTGGCCCCAGGGTGCAGAGAAATTCTATGCAGACCTTGTCCCCCGTGTGAATGACCCCCTAGGAGTCATTCAATATCCATTGCACCCTTAAAAAACACTTGAAAGTGACCCTGTCACATACATAAAAATACTAAACCACACATGTACCTGTAAAGCCAAAACCGAATACTTACCCCTCTGGCTGCCTATGTTGCTGAACGCCATCACCCCCTAAGTCTTCTGGGAGTGTGGATATCCTGGGTCCCCTTCAGGTCTCACTGGATCCTCCTGCTGACCTCCACCTCATTACTGTTTCCTGGCCTGCTCAAAAATATGGTGACGTGAGGAAAGGCCAGGAAAAGAAAATGACAGTAAGTATGAGATAACAATTTTCCGTGATCCTGCAGGAGGAACTAGCGTGAGCTGTGGAGGACCCAGGAGAATGATACTTCCGGAGGGTGAGCAGAAATAGTGTCCACATTGGACGATTTCCCATTTCTGTTCTGGTGACAACTTTGGAATTTTCTTATTTTCTTTCACTTTGGGTGAAACCAGGACAAATAAAAACCTGACAGCTGTACTAATCCCTCTCCACTCTATTCAAAACTAAAGGAAAAGTTGGCTTCATTGCACTAAGAGAAATCTCCTGTGATATCACCAGACCAGGATCAAAGTGCCGGGACAGATCCTGACAATACTGTCGAGATCCACCCATCTGCGTGAGTGACAGCTGGCTCTGCCTAAGTGCCTATCTAGAGGCAGAGCCAGCTGTACCCGCCCCCTCCCCCGTCTGTTCCTCCACTCAGGATCGGAGAGGGGGGAATCTCTGCGGAGATCGGTGAATGACAGTCACTGCTCACTGCGGGGAGACTATCGGGAAGTGAGCAGATCGGCTGTATGTTTCTTATCACTTCCCGATCGATAGAGCCGACGTGTAAAAGCTTCTACACACGTCGGCTCTAACTATGAGGGTCATTAACAGATCAGAACATAATGAGCCGCCGCTCGTTTTCATACAAGTGATCTAATCAGATCACTTGTATGAAGCGAGAATCGGCGATTCTGTCCGCCCCCCCGCGCCGTGGTTTTCGGGGTCCCCCGTTCCTCTGGTGGACCTGTCACCACGGCACGGGAGCTCACCATAGAGCCCGCAGAGCAGACAAAGAACTTCCTTTCTTCGTCTGCGCTATTACTAAGACCGTGGCGATGCTTCCTGATTGCCCGGGAAGCCTGCTCCATGCCAACGGAAGCACCGATACTGACTGAGTGCTGAAAGCAAAATATTGGTACTCGTACTCGATACCCAAAAACTGGTATTGGTGCATCCTTAGTTTTAAACTTTTAAAACTTTTTTTTTGTGTTGGGACAAGTAGATTATAATGAAGGACATGTAGACTTGACCCCTGCTTTAGCCCTTGGACAAGTAGTTTTTTCAAAAATTTCCACACCCCTGAGGAGAGAAGTAAGTTCTGACATGAAAAATAAGATTATTAACAGAGGTCATTAGGTAAACGAGTCAATTGTGATTGGTGCATTGCCAATATACAGACTGTATATTTGTGTATCTCCATACTTGTGTTCAGGAGAATAAAACAATTAGCAGATTTGCTTGATTCGATAATTAATTCGCCTGTGAGAACATACAGAGAGACTGGAACGGGATAGAAATACTGCAGATCAAGAGCTTCGCACTTCCATAACCAATCACTAGAGGGCGCAATGAGCCTATCAGCTACGTCTATACTGGGTACCGGAAGCCATCTTACTGCACCCAACTCCCGGCCATCTTACTACACCTATATCCTTTCCATTGATTGGTGGAATTCGAAGCGTGAGAAAATAGTGCACTAGGCGGGAAAAACAAAATGGCGTACAGGAGATTGCTGTAACCTGGAAGAAAGGAGCTGTGGGCGGAAATTTCCTATATTACGCTGTATTTAATCGGGACCTGCGTTTCACTAAGGTGAGCTGACGAGCAGTAGAAGGATGTCCGTTGTTTATGAAGGAGATACGATGAGAGCAGATTTCGTCTTATTATCGTTATCTGTGACACCCATAGAGGGGGATGTTATGTAGAACAGGAATAAAGTAGTCACGTAGCTGTATGGTTTGCTGTGGCTTCTGTGTTCATGTGACATGAAATAAAACCCTGTATAGAGATGAGTACACACCATGGCACTGCTTGGGATTGAAGCCAGGTATATACAGTTGTATTTATTTATTTTTTTGTTGAATCTTATGGGTTGAACGTAACAAATAGAAGAGATTTCTCCATCAATGCTTACAAGCGTGGATTGAGGCATCCCCCGCTGTTTCCTTTGTATTCAGCCTGCGGCCCTGTCAGATTGGCTGCTAGCTCTGTTTGGCTGACAGTTTTCCAACCTGTTCCTTCCCTGGATCAGCTGATGGATGCCTGGCTGAAGGTTGCTGACAAAAGCACCCACGCCGCGGATTTCGGCTGTATACCCGGCTTTATGTACATGTGTATACGTGTCAAATAGGTTTTGGCATTTTTTTAAATGGAATCCCTCTAGGTCCAGAGAAAAATTATTCTGATCATCAGGGCATCTGTGGATGAACCCCATACTGATCAGATCATCAGGGCATCTGTGGACGGACCCCATACTGATCCGATCATCAGGGGATCTGTGGAAGGACCCCATACTGATCAGATCATCCGGGGATCTGTGGACAGACCCCATACTGATCAGATCATCCGGGGATCTGTGGACGGACCCCATACTGATCCGATCATCAGGGCATCTGTGGACGGACCCCATACTGATCATATCATCAGGGGATCTGTGGATGGACCCCATACTGATCATATCAGGGGATCTGTGGACGGACCCCATACTGATCATATCATCAGGGGATCTGTGGATGGACCCCATACTGATCATATCAGGGGATCTGTGGACGGACCCCATACTGATCATATCATCAGGGGATCTGTGGATGGACCCCATACTGATCATATCAGGGGATCTGTGGACGGACCCCATACTGATCATATCATCAGGGGATCTGTGGATGGACCCCATACTGATCATATCAGGGGATCTGTGGACGGACCCCATACTGATCATATCATCAGGGGATCTGTGGATGGACCCCATACTGATCATATCAGGGGATCTGTGGACGGACCCCATACTGATCATATCATCAGGGGATCTGTGGATGGACCCCATACTGATCATATCAGGGGATCTGTGGACGGACCCCATACTGATCATATCATCAGGGGATCTGTGGATGGACCCCATACTGATCATATCAGGGGATCTGTGGACGGACCCCATACTGATCATATCATCAGGGGATCTGTGGATGGACCCCATACTGATCATATCAGGGGATCTGTGGACGGACCCCATACTGATCCGATCATCAGGGGATCTGTGGACGGACCCCATACTGTTCCGATCATCAGGGGATCTGTGGACGGACCCCATATTGATCAGATCATCAGGGGATCTGTGGACGGACCCCATACTGATCCGATCATCAGGGCATCTGTGGACGGACCCCATACTGATCCGATCATCAGGGCATCTGTGGACGGACCCCATACTGATCATATCATCAGGGGATCTGTGGATGGACCCCATACTGATCATATCAGGGGATCTGTGGACGGACCCCATACTGATCATATCAGGGGGATCTGTGGACGGACCCCATACTGATCATATCAGGGGGATCTGTGGACGGACCCCATGATCAGATCATCAGGGGATCTGTGGACGGACCCCATACTGATCAGATCATCAGGGGATCTGTGGACGGACCCCATACTGATCAGATCATCAGGGGATCTGTGGACGGACCCCATTCTGATCAGATCATCAGGGGATCTGTGGACGGACCCCATACTGAGCAGATCATCAGGGTATCTCTGGACGGACCCCATACTGACAAGAACGGATGGCGCCTGTGTGAAAGGGGCCTAAAGAGGATTCACAACACTCTTTGTGAATGTCACAGGCTATACCAAGGTAGCCAAACTCCGGCCCTCCAGCTGTGGTGAAACTACAAATCCCATGATGCATCTCTCCGGGATTCATGTCTGTGGCTGTGAGAGTCTTGCAATGCCTCATGGGATTTGTAGTTCCACCACAGCTGGAGGGCCGGAGTTTGGCTACCCCTGAACGACTTGCACTTCATTGGAATGTGTTAAAACAGTGTAAATGGGCCCTTTTTTTCTTTTAAAGTGACACTAAACTTCACAGTTCAATATTAAAATTGTATACAAGGACCCTAACGTTTAACGAAAATGTATCTTATTTAGAGGTGCACCGAAATCAAAATTGTAAAAACAAAACCGAAATAAAAAAAATGTGGGGCCAAAACTGAAAAAAAAAAATTTCCTAACTTTTTCAATTTTTTTTTTATTCATTTTTTAAAATAAACTTTTACATTTGTTTACATTTTTTTTTTTTTATTAAATATTTTACTTTTAGGTGCTTTGAAGGAAATATCGGGGGTCTAAACAGACCCCTGGTATTTCCCTTTTTAAAATAGAAAGAGATTGAGGACACAAAGTCCTCCTGTCTCTTTTTCTGCAGCCCCTGTTATCAATGATCAGGAATCCTCTATACTGAGTGTTCCTGTTCATTCATAACATGGGGACAGAGTATGTTTACTATCATGAATGAACAGGAGAATCATGAATGAACAGGAGGTGATGTAGGTCACTTCTCATTCATTCATAATTGAGGACACAGTAAACATACTATGTCCTCAATTATGTACAAACACTCCAACGATCACTGATTGCTTGTACCCGCTCTCCTTCCTAACAGTTGTCAGAGGAGGCTGAGCGAAGGAGAGCTTAATCTGACAGCTGGCTCAACCGCCGGCCTCCTGTGACAGTGTGGGTTGTCTCCGCCCCCACACCGCTCTCCTCCGATCTGACACAGGAGGCTGAGCAGTGTGGGAGGAGAGACGCCCGCCGCTCGCAGCGCTTGGCCGCCTGTGACACAGAGCAGCGCCCAGCGGGGAGGCGAGAAGAAACGGATGTGCCGCTATGTCAGCAGAAACATGGCACTTTCTGCATTATGCCAAAAGTGCCATTTTCGCCGCTCCAAGCTCACTCCTGTGATGGACTACAGTCTCACCTTTAGTTTACTTAGTTGTATTGGGATTGTAGTCCATCACGGGGAGTGAGCTCGGAGCGGTTGCTACTTTGCAACACACACGGGGACCATGGGGATGTAAGTTTAAACCGCTGTTAAAGCAGGGGTTTAAAAAAAAAAACTTTTCGCATCTATCCTCTGCTTGCTAGCAGTAGATACATATATGCAAAAACATTTTTTTTTTAAAGTTACCAAATAGGTTATTACTTACCTCTGTCTCCACCACTCGCTTCCGTCCGATGTTCTGAAGATTCTCAAGTGGCTGTGAAGGATCATGGGACGGGTGCATGTGCAGTAGAGATCTTCGGCCAGGAGAAGAGGAGAGACACTGTGTAAATCAAGGCAGCGTGCACACGGATAGGCTCCGTGGGACACAGAATACACAGCAGTCAGCGCTGGATAAGAGACCGGAACCAGCACTGGAGGGACTGCTTAAAATTACTGTAAAGAAGAAGATGATGATCGGATGAAGAGGCATCATTTAAGGCAAGTCCTTACACCAGCATGAGGGGGTGGGAATATTTGTGACTTTAACGCCACTTTAAGTAATTTTTGTATGTTTTTATTTTATTTAGACTTTACTGATCAACGTTCTTGTCCTAGGTCACTGACACAAGCCATCAAAGCCAGAGCGGAAGCTTAACCGGCAACTAGCTTTTTCAGGAGCAGGTTAGCAGTGGCAGTCCCTATATAGGTCTCATGGCAGTTTACCTATCTGCTGGAAGCTGTCATTGTGTTTTAAGCTAGCCATACACAGCTAGAATTTTGGGAGATTCCTGTGAATTGCCTGAAAATCAAGCCGTGGGGTGGCCCTACTGACACCACCCAGCTCGACAAACTTCAAGAGAAAACTGAAACTAGCCGGTCCAGCACTGACTGCAGTCATCACTGTTTGGGTATCCTGACTGCTACGGGTGCGGCAGTTAGAATACAGTAACTGGCAGGGGTGTTTCCTCCATCCGGGCTGTTTATAGTATGGATGGGGGAATCGAGGGATCGCACATGTTCAGCTCACAGGGCTAAACCAGAGACATCTTTACATGTATGGGCAGCTTAAGAATCAGATTCCCTAAAATAGACATAAAGAGACTCATTTTTTGGGGTTAAAGGAGTAAATTCACTAATGTTCTCCTTGTGATCCAAAGTCAGCAGATAGCGGGCGACTGCTAATACACATTTTAAATTGTAATGAAGCACAGAAAACATAGGGTGGAGAAAAGCCAGTCAATGTAAATGGGGTTCTTAGTAGTTCTCCTTTAAGGCATGTTATGTTGGGTCCAGCAGCTGCGCTCTATTGCTGATAAAGAAATTTGGCTTTTATGTCACGTTTGCTTTTACACTGGATTTTCTTCCCACTATGTTTTCCATACACAGGTAGACTATGTGGATCACGTTAATCATGAAATGGTTGTATTGTGTATGTGATTTACAAATACAATTCTACACAAGTCTGTTATCTTTTATTTATAGCTTTAAACAATGGAGGATGCGGAATCAAGGTTCACTCACCTGCTGCAACCAATCAGAGATCTGACCAAAAACTGGGAGGTGGATGTAGCTGCTCAGTTGGGGGAGTACTTGGAGGAGGTAGGTTTTTATGAGTGCTCATGAATGGTGGTGGCTTCATGCTTTGGAGATTGTGGATATTGTAACATGGTTGATTTATTGATATTGAATTTTCTGCCTGCAAACAATCAAATCCATACTGCAATACCTATTTTTACCAAAAGAGACAAAGGAACAGTGGACAGAAATGGCAACTGTCAGCCATTTTTCCTTAGTACAGTAGGATTCATATATTGGTAACTTGCTACTGTAACAGTATGGTGTTGCTATCTGAACAAACTGCAAACATTGCTGTTCATCCCTCTCTGCTCTTACAACTTAGTAAGTTAAAGTGGACTTGTACCCCTTCCACTAAAAATCACATCAACATTTAGCTCTGCATTCTGAACTGAAATCATCTTACATTCATTAGCTAAATAAACAACATATTTTTACTTAGTTATAGTTTTTCCACTTCCTGGTCCTCTTGGGCATTAGTGATGTAACCTGTGCCCAAGTGTTGCATCCTAGGATGGCTACATCACAGAGCATTGCTGGGAAATCTCATCTGTAAACTGCAAAGTCTTGTGAGATCTCAGGGAAAGACATTTTTTTCCCTTAAGATGATGTGCATGGTCACATGTCCTAGTCACGTGTGCCAGAGTTCCAGGAAGTATAGGGAGATATGTTAATCTGCCCTTAGTAAAAATGGCCACTAATAGGAATGGGGAGGAAAAGAACAATAAGGTATGCCAAGCATACAAAGCCTGCAATTATCTAGAAGTATGTGTTTGTAGATTGTCATTACTAAACATTTCTGAAGGTGTGTTTTTTTGTCATTTTAAAGATGAGTAAAATTCCTCTTTAAAGCAGAGGTAAATAACATTACCTTAGACCAGCAGTTTGGGTGTATTGATATTTACTGTTTGTTTAGCCAAGAGAAGACTCCGTCATACTAAGCAGAGTAATAGCTGCTCCCTTCCACACTAATGTGTTTAGCTAAACTCTTGAATGTTTGAGTTGTGAATAGGATATTACAGAAGGAAGTGCACCTAGAGGGCATTGGGGTGGTTGCCAGCAGCAGGTACTTCACTGCCTCTTGGCTCACCAGTTAGCCTTGGGGAGTTTGAGCAAATAATAGTGCACATTGTGGGATGTTCTAGGGAAACTGTACTGAGTATATATATATGGCGGTTTCTGTTGCTGAACTCCTTTGTTCCCTGGATATATTTGGCTTGAGTTTCTCTAGAATTGGAAACTTGGATCAAACTTGCAGCCATTGAAGTCAGAGTCGAATGAACGCTTGGTCTCTTTGCACGTTTTGCAGTGTTTTCCGCACGTCAACTGATTCATTTCAATGAGTTGCCCTATCTATGGCAAAAAAGCTCCTACAGCAGTTTGAGCTGCAAGCACGTCACACATTTCCCTTGTGTTGTGTGCAAGCGTGCAAATGCACACGCTGTGGCGCACATTCACATGCACAACAAGTGTCCTTAAAAAGTAGGGCAGGTATGCAAGCGCCAACTAAAAGGACTTAGATGTTGGTGAGGTGGTTATGGAGCTTTTATCAAAATAATCATAAATACTGATTTGAGGGATGTTAAATGGATCAATAGGCTGGTAACACATACTCCTAGATTGTTTATATGTTTTTAGTACCAGTTTTATAAGACCACATCTATCTAAATATGTACATATCTGTTTCTGTTCTATAGCTAGATCACATATGTATCTCTTTTGATGGAGGTAAAACCACCATGAACTTTGCAGAAGCTGCTCTCCTAATTCAAGGATCAGCATGTATCTACAGTAAAAAGGTAAGTGGAAATGTTAACTGTATGAATATGAGTAACTGATTTCCTTTTAACATCTTTCTACATAACTCAATTTAATTTCAACCACATACATGTATTAATCCAACAATAAGCTTCACATTAACATTTAATTATAGCCATCTATAATTAAATCTCCAAATGTATACATATACCGTCACAAAAATGACATATACCGTCACAAAAACGGTCTCAAGTGGGTCAAGATGGACAAACGAAAGAACAAAGTGCAGAAATCGGAAGAGTAAGTGCCAGGGCCAGACACTGATCTTCCTCCGGTTGACGCGTTTCAGAGGTTAAACCTCAGAACCTCTGGGTTCTGAGGAAAGAGGTTTAACCTCTGAAACGCGTCAACCGGATGAAGATCGATGTCTAGATGGCCCTGGCTTGAACACTTTTCCGATTTCTCCACTTTGTTCTTTCGTTCGTCCATCTTGATCCACTTGAGATCGTTTTATTCAATGCTCGTTTTTTACAAGTCGTTTGTAAGTACATTTCCAGCTGTATTTTACCTTTATTAAATCTGCTTTACACTATGGAGGCGCTCCTTTTGCTCTGTTCTTTTACACACACAAAGTGCTGTAATGCAAAGCTTCCAAACCAGCTTTATATATCAGGTGAAATCTTATATTGGTTTCACTCAATTCGATTACCGTTGGAATTGATGGAATATATGCAGAGGTGCAAAAACCACAACTTGCTGGAGAAAGTGAATTTCAAACAGCCAGTCGGCTTGAACTTTGCATGTTATATCTTGTGTTTGCTATGTTGCACACATGCGAGGACTTAGAAACCAGTTTGGATACTTTTTGCATGTGGATACCGACTGAATATAAGATTCTACCTGATATATTGGGTTGGTTTAGAACTTTTGCACCATAGCACTTTGTGTGTTTGCACCTCTGCATATATTACTCTGAGAAAGAAAAGCCTGGCTATATGTGTGAATACAGCACAAGTTTATAAATCAACAGTATATGTATAAACATGAATTGAGTCCGCAGACCTGCGTATTGGTTACACAATATGATGGACATCCTCAATGGAGAGAAGGAAGGGGCAGGTTACACAATGACCATGATAATTCGAGTCATCCTTCCCTAGCACATCACCTCTGATTTTATGGTTGGTGTGGTACCTTACAGGTAAACGTAATCTGCATTCACACTTTAGGAGATGCCTGTACTGTTATGCTGCCAGTTGTTGACTATTGCTGGAACCACAGGAGACAGTGTAGTCTTTTGCTGGAGCTACCCAGGATTCCTAAAACTGGGTTACACTTAATATACTTGTGACTACTTTCAACCCTAACTTGGAGCTTTGGAGCCCTCTGCGACATCCCATTTTGCAATCTATAAACCTTTCTGACTTTTCAGTAGCTAGAGAGCATGCAGCTCTGACATAAATATAAAAAGTTTGAAAAATGTAGGTTTTTTTTTTTTAATGCTTTAGTAACCAGGCTTGTGGGATTTAATTAACCTGTCTCTGCGTTTCAAGCATGTAAGAATCTGTTTAGTCCCTCCTGAGCAGATAGTGGCTTAGGAAACCTCTACTGTATGCTTAACCTATTGTCATTGATGTGAAATAGGGCTATAGTAAGTGCTGATGGTCCACTTCTATTAAGGTTTGTGTGAAATCATTAAATCTATGTATATTCTATTTGCAGGTGGAATACCTTTATTCTTTGGTATACCAAGCTTTGGATTTTATATCAAATAAAAAGTATGTATCTTTTTACATTTCTAATCTTTTCATCAATTCAGAAGTTATCAAGCTGTGGGGTTTTTGTTTTTCTGGTAGTATAGCAGAGGTTAGAGTTGGTCCACCCCAAACAGATACATTTGTGTGTAGTACTGTGTTCTTAGTCCTGTACTACATCTTGCTGCTCTTGAACTTTAGTGCTGAGATGTGCCCTTCCTAGTTCTTGATTCTGCACTCACTAGCCTTCAGATGTTTTCATTCTTCTTTGTTGTTCCAGAACTAACAAACTTGCTTAAAGGAGAACTATGGGGTTAGGGCTTTTCCCCATAGTTCTCCAAGGTTAACGGGAGGACACAAACTAGCGTCCTCCCGTCATCCAAAGTTCAGTATACCGCGAGCTACAGCTCGCGGTATACTGAGATGCCGCAGCCGGGACGGATTCTCGGCATCACTGTCCGGATCCATCCAGCTGCGTGATTGACAGCTGGCTCTGCCTATCTAGAGGCAGAGCCAGCTGTACCCGCCCCCTCCCCCGTCCGTTCCGCCAGTCAGCGCTGGAGGATCGGACAGGGGAAGGGGGGGAAGTCCTGCAGGGAGCCGTGAGTGACAGTCACGGCTCTCTGCAGGGATAGATCGAGAAGTGAGCGAGCGATGGTATGTGTTCGCTCACTTCCCGATCTATTGAGCCGACCTGTGACAGTTTAATTGTGACAGGTCGGCTAGAACTATGAGGCTGAGTGATTTTCACTCGCCTCATAGTTCTCCTTTTAAATGTTTTAGTGCACTGCAGTGCGATTCATTGCTATGTACCTTACAGTGCACAGCATGTGTGTTGCACTACACTGGTAAAATGCACACACCACCTTTTTTTTATGAGTTGAGGGATTCAGGGATCTTGTTGTTCCTTCTGAATGTTTGATTATATATTCTATGGAGTGCAACAGGAGGAGAGAAGGTAAAGAGGCAGAACTCTGGAGATGTCAACTAGCAATTCAGACCATCGGGGGTGGACCTATAATTGACATGTTAGCTGTCGGCAGCTGAGACTTGACATATACAGCATATCTGCCTTGCTGGCTTTATCAGTTTTGTACTTTCATGCAGTACCTCCAAAATGGAAAATAAATCTTAAGAATTAAAATGAAAGTACAAGAAGAAAAGTAGAGAGAAAATGAGCTACCGGATGTTAGAGAAAATATAGCATAGGATAACACTTGGAAATGCATCTTATGAGAAGTAATAGAAATAAAACATTGTTTGTGTGAAGTACATTATATACAACTTTGTATACCTTGATCCAGCTCTGGTCAATGACCACAAAGTAACTATTAGTAGACATCTTTGTTTCCTTTTGGTTGATTGTGATCAATCTTTATTTATATAGGCGAGACCAGCAGCCGGCTTCTGTGGGATCAGATGGGGCAGACAAAGATGCAAATTTTACAAAACATAGCGAGGAGGTGAGTAGTGTGTGTGTGCTTGTTTGTGGGATATATGTCTTTTTAAGGCACTCAGATCCTGAGCACAGGATTTTGCTTGAAGAGGTTTTCTAGCATGCTTGGAAATGTCTTGTGACCAAGGTTTAATTATTTTTATACATGAGAAAAAACTAGATGTCCCGATACCACTTTTTTAAGACCAAATACAAGTACTTTCCCTTGCCGATACCAATTACCGATACTTTTTCTTAAAGGGACATGTGACATTTTTTCTAACACAACACAGTCTAATGATTTTAGGGCAGTTTCTTTAAAATTATGAAGAACTGTAACTTAAAAGACTGTGAAAAAAATAAAACAGAGCACATAATAATTCATATTAAACAGATGGACCATAAATATAGCAGCCAAATAGCTTCATTAACTCTTAGATCTTGTTCCTTCATGAGTTAATTGATCATGTATATAATCTGACTGATCAGAATTATACACAACTCTGTTCATCTTATAACTGTACTGCAAATGTAATTTCTGTTGTAATAATAAAGCACATGATTCGGCACATCCAGGGTTAAAATGGAACGATCATAGACACATAAGGGCCATTCTACTGAGTAAATTTCATGACAAACACCACTACTCAGTGTAAGTCCCATCCAGAAACAATTTTCACAAGCCTTACAGAACACTCCTACTTTATATGTGATAATGTCTATTCATAATTTACATCGTATCCTCCATATAGCCACCGCATATGAGAGTCTGCATAGCATTTAAGTGTCTCTTGATCCAGCCCATAATAAGCAAATGGGGGAAAGTAAAGTCATTGTTATCCATCATTACTCACATACAAATAGGTGTGCCTTCTGTGAGATGGCGCTCTGCAGGGTGCCTCTGCCAGATCTCTCTGGTAGCTTTGGTGGGCTTTGTGGGAGGTGGCGGTTTGCAGGGTGTCTGTGCCCGATCTCTCTGCCAGCGGTGGAGGGCTTGTGGGAGGCAGCGCATTCAGGGTGTCTGTGCCCGATCTATCTGGTGGCGTTGGCGGGCTTGTGAGAGGCGGAGCTGTGAGGACCCCGGCAGGCTGCCCACCAGGCTGCCTGGAGGTCCCCAGAAAGCGTGGAACCTCTGGGCAGCCCGAAGCGATTTAACATTTTAAAGCGCTGGTATCGGCCCATTTTCACAAGTACTTGTGAAAATGCCGGGTATCGGGACTTCCCTAGAAAATAGAATCTTACATTTCCTCTGCAGACGCCTAATGTAAACTCTGTATGATTCAGGTGAAATTGTCATTTTGGATGACCGATGCCATATAAGCCACATCTGTGTGACCCCTTTACCAGGTTGTTGATAAAGAAACATTTGACAAATAAGAAACCGATATCTAAAGTTTTCTTGTTTTATCGAACATTTAATTGGTTAAATATTTAATATGTGCATTTTGGGTAAGTTAATTGTTATTGTGCTTTACATGTACATTTTGGTATTTGTTCTAGTTTCTGGTCTTAGATGATGTTGAGGATCCCAAGAAAACGAGCACGGACATGAAGGATCACAATTTAAACGTATGCTATAAGGTTTTTTAGTATGTGCACCGCAGCCTGCATGTATATTGTGCATGTTCATTGTTGTGTATATTTTGGCAGTATAAGTTGCTATGTCTCTAAAACCTTAGCCCCATAAACTCATGTTGGGCAAATAGAGATATGTATCTGCATCTGCACCTTGTATTCATTCTTTATTTCTGTTCTATTGTGTTTTTTTGTTTTCTTTTAAAGCCTGTGAATATCGTTCCCCTAACACCTATGGCTCTAGTTCCCCCTGAAGAGGTAGAAAAGAAAATTAACCCTCTATGCAGGTGAGCATTACAGTCTGAGTTACATTAGAGACATGGGTATGCTACCTATGTGAGATACATAGATGGGCTGCGACCAACTAATTGATGATAATTGATTATGAGAATAGTTGTCAACTTATCTCTATCGATTAGTTGTCTGAATCCCCTAGCTCTCTCCTCCACGCTGGGAGAAGGGCACAGCAAGCAGTGGGCGGGTGCAATAGCCAACCTGCTATTGCAATTTGAAATGGCCAATAGCAGGCTGGGTCTTGCACCAGCCCATTACCTGCTGTATTTACATTCGGCTGTTGTCTGCGGAATCTTGTCACTGACAGCTGTCATTCCCTGGCTGAAGCTATTCAAGCGCCATGTGCTTACAATACAATTATTTTTTTTTAAATTATAAAGCCTGACAAATTCTGCTGCAGGAGGTGCGTTGCAGTGCCATTAATTTAAATGGCACCCCAAACGTGCCTCCCACCCACAGTGTGATCACATGGTTGGACTTGATGGACTAATGTCTTTATTCAACCTCAAATACTATGTAACTATGTGATCGCCCACACTGGAACACAGGGTACTGCAATGCTGTGTGTTCCAGTGCAGTGCGATTGCAAAATATTGTGCATGCAGTTTTATTCTGAAGTAAATTTTGTAACACTGTATTTGTGTATTTTGTTTCAAATTAAGGATGGTATTTATTTATTTTTTATCTGATTAATTGAAAAAATAATCATTAGTTGCTGCCCTAATGCATAAGTGTTTACCCAGACAACTTTATCTAGATTTAATTCACCTTTTAATGTGTGTGCATGAATTACTCAGGGGGTATATTTAGCAGATTGAAAGGCATACTGCTAAATACACATTGGAAATCTATATAGACAGTTTACCTAATCTAGACTTTATTCACTTCATACATATCTTGTGTCACTGCACAGCAAAATTATTACACTTTTTCTTTACTGCACAGCTTTCTGTTTCACCTGCCTGCTCACTGGGCAGTGATTCAACAGTGTGTTTATGCAGATTGATTGAGCAGGTTGAAGGTGGAGAGGTGATGAAGGAAATTGTTAAACCAGGGAATAAAATAGTTATCCTTCTGGCTCTATAGAAGTACAAATCCTTTAGTAGGTGAAACTGCATTTTCAGCTGCTTGGCTATTTAACCGATTTACCTTTCTTTTCCAGCCGAAAAGGAGAAATTTTGGCCAGCAGGAAAGATTTCCGTATAAACACCTATACCCCTCACACATGTGGAGCTTTTTTGTTAGAGCTGGCGCTAATGTCACCAACACAGTTTAGGCAGAGTACACAAAGGACAGAGGACAACAGCAATTGTCCAGGTTTGGACTTTTTTTTTTTTCTTCTGCATATTTTGTATCTGCTTTTTAATACATATATTATAAAACTGGTCTCCACAGCCCTTCCCTAAGTTACATGACAGTGGTAACATGAGGTTTCAGCCCCTAAATGCTGATACAAAGTTCTTCAAAAACGTATTTTTAAAGTGGGTCCATTGCTGCTATTTCTTCCATAGTCCTTAATATATGCATCATATATGAATTCAGCTTGCTGTTGTGTAACATTTGGATGGCATCACCCTTTATAAATGAAATGCAGTAGCAAAGTGCAAGATTTTCCATTAGATTTGTTGATTTAAAGCTTTAGAATGCATAAAGGACACACTTAGATCAATTTTCTTCCCAAAGCCACTACTGAAACGCTGTATGGAAGCTCACCTACCGTAATATAGTATTTTCAGCAATATACACCACAAAAATTGGGTTTATATTGACCCCTTAAATGTCAGTACAATCCATGCATTTACCATGTACAAAATCTTAATATATTAGTAATTAATGCAATGGAATCTATGGTTATTGTCATTAGGTTTGATGAATGCGGAACAGGCAGAAAGGAATGAAAACATGGAAGAAGATTGCGTTGAACCAGTGCCAGTGTTGAACTTCTCTGATGCTGATGGTGAGAGCAAATTTATTTTCCACCATGTCAAACTGGCAAGTCACTTTGAATGTGATCATTTTAGGTGGCAAAGGATACATTGATAAAAGAAAACTTTTGTGTAGCCTCTTCATGACCATGATATGACTTTGTAAGTACATATGCAAAATGTCTCTTGCCTTGAGAACAATGATTAACCTTGCAGCAGAGAACTTGGAATGCACAACTCTGTGTGTGTTTCTGGTTCTCAGAGCCCGTCTAGCAGACAAATTAGTCAGAGTTAACCGAAGTACACTGCCGCTGCTAAATTTGGTATGGGCGTTTAAGCTCACAAGAAGGTTGAGGTCCCTTTTCTCATCTGTGCTATTTTTACTTTCGTAGATGAAGGCCTCCATTGCTCAGTTTATTAGCATAGCAGTGTGAATTAAGGTGCTAGTAAAAGTTTGTTTGCCTGTGTCTGTAATCGCATCTTTTAAAAAATAGCAGCCATGTAAAGTTGGCTTCTGTAATATATAAGAATTGGTCAAGTTTTTGTGCGATACCATTTTTTCTTTGTAAGAAATATATAGTATGTATAAACATCTTTGTTCTTCAGCTTCAGTCTAATGGTCATCAACTGGTCATGTTGTCCAGATCTGTATATGGAACAGGTGAAATGATTAGTTTTTTCTTTAATTCCTCGGGTAGTGAAAAAAATGTATGCTTCTGCCTGGTTGGCTGGGAAACACGCACAGATGGTGGTCACCAAGAGCCAGAGATGAGAATCACCGATATATTTGTAAAAATGTGCTAAGAACTAGTGATGCTGCCATGTTGTCATTGAGTATTACAGCTACTCTTCACACTGTATATTTAATCCTTATAGCACATTCGTGACCATAATTCTACTGTACATTTAGTTGAATGTCATTGTTGTACTTGGTGTAAGTTTCCCTACATTGTTTAATCTGTAATTTGAATTGTAATTTGTATCTCATTGGGTCTCCAGCTGTTTAAAAAGTCGTTTGCCACTGCAGTCTTTTAACAAACCATTCTTCTTATCTTCATAAAACGTAAGCTTCTGTTTCTCTTACTTAGCCCCACCAATGAATAATGGGGATGATGTCTTTGTCCCACTAAATGATGACCATGAAGTAGAAGATGAAAACATGGAGCCTGCAGAGCATATTGAACGACAACAGGTATCTTTAAGTTGCTTTTTAAGTTTTGCTTTTAAGGCATTTTGTGTTTTTTTTTTTTTTTTTTAGGGATGTCCAGATGCCACCTTTTTAAGACCAAGTACAAATACTTTCCCTCAGTTACTTGCCAATGCCAATTACCGATACTTTTTCTTAAAGGGACTTGTGCCATTTTTTTTCTAAAACAATACAGACTAATGATTGTAGGTCATTTTCTTTTATAATTATGAAGAACTGGAACTTAAATCTGCCTCTGGGAGTCACGCTTACAGCTGAGAGTCGTCCAATGCATCATGGTACATGTAAAGTAAAACAAATGTGCTCAGAGCACTACACATAGGCGGTGATCACTACATGCGGAGCATGTTCATAATATTTCCCATATCTAGTTGAATTTCTCTGTCATTGCATCATATCAACAATACTGTATAACTTTAAGTATTGGGACACCCCTCTAAATACTGATTTAGAGGGGTGTCTCAATACTTTTGCTAATATAGTGTATGTGTAGTGCTCTGAGTGGGACAGATTGTAAAAAGCAGGGGGAATTGTAATTCTATTGCTACAGTGTACTGGAAGTGTGGACCTAGGTTAAATGAGTTACACATCTCCCTTGCTAACTTGAATAGGTTAAATGATCCATAGTAAACAGTACAAACACTGCAGAAATGGTTACAATTCTCCTTTTGATAACTTGAATGGGTTAATGTACACACACACACACACACACACACACACACACACACACTTCCATTACACTGCAGCAATAGAGTTACAATTCTCCCCTGCTTCTTACAATCTGTCCCACTTCCCCTCAATTAAACTGGCTGGTGACCCCCCTACCTGCAGCTTTCACTACAAAGTTGCTGATAAATAATGTGCACAGGTCCCGTCCCTTATGACGCCGCAGCCAGCCCTTTCACAGCTTCCCTCGCCACAGCCTGTATGGAGCAGCTTTACAAATAGCAACTCACAGGAGCAAGGCGATGTGCAGGAGTCCCTTCCCTGGTCCCTTTTTCTCACATAGTCGGCGTTGTGCGGGAGTCCGGTCCCTTTTCTCGCTTAGTCGGCGATGTGCAGGGTTATTGTGCCCGGTCGCTCTTGCAGCTGTGTCTTGTGTCTCTGACGGGCTTGTGGGAGGCGGTTCCCTGTGAGGTGAGGACCCCGTCTAGCTGCCGGCAGGCTGCCCAGAGCACACCAAGCAAGCGTGGTACCTCTGAGAAGCATGAAGCTATCTAAAGTAAAAAAAAAAATGAAATCGTCGGGAACCGGGCATTTTTCTAAGTACTTGTGAAAATGCCTGTTATCGGCCCTGATGCCAAGCAAGCATAGTATCGGAACATCCCTAGCATTTTTATTTTTGATCCTTTAACTACTGATGGCAGCAGAGAAGAAATGAGGGGCTGCATGTGGCCCATAAAACACCAGTCTGATATGTCCTGCTTAAGCTGTCAGCTATCTGCTCCATTGACTTGTAACATTGATGGGAATCAGTTTTAATTTTGACTGCAAATTTCAATTTAGTTTTAGTCTTTTGACTAAAATGAAATTTTAGTTTTAGTCCTATTTTAATAATCTGAATTGTTTTAGTCTAGTTTTGTTGACGGAATCGCCAGTAGATTTAGTCGACTAAAATCTAATGGGTTTATTTCAAGTGTAATGCTTTATTTAAGCAATTCTCTAGGATCTCCAAACTCATTATATATTCCTGGAGTAAACCTCTATTAACCTTTTTATTACTTTTTGTATTAAGTTTTTGAACCAGCAATACAGACACAGATGTATGCTTGCACAGCATAGAGACAGCCATTTCCATATTTATACGAGTGTGCTCTGCTTACTTTTGCATGAATTTCGGGATGAGTAATCTGCAAATGTCTCCATGTTTGTTGTGTTTTTTACTGGCGATTGTTGCTCCACATGGTTTACTAAGGGTCTTGTTCTCATTAGCATCAAATGTAAAATGATTCCATACATCTGTTCTTCTTTCTCCCTGACGTTGACATGTCTATGCAGTTTGTGCTGCCAGTGTTTGCTAGCTGTGTCCCGCCTGGTAGATCAATAGGTTATTATTCACTTGTGCATGTCTCCCTACTACAGAAAGAGGAAACGCTCAAGGAACCCGGAAGTCCAATTGCCATAGTCCCTCCCATTTTCAACGCGTTTTCTTTCATCAACAAAAATGTGTTGAATTTTCAACTTAGTTTGTACTTCGTTTTCATTTAGTTTTCATCACTAAAAACATGCAGATGAAAAAAAATAAAAATTCTTCATGGAACAATTTAACACTGATGGGAACCTATGTAATCTATACGCAGATCTTTCAGAAAAATGTATCTGATGGTAGCAGGTCAAGCAGTGGGTTACAGCGTGATTTTATTATCTGCTTAACTCCATAACTTTCCATATAAAATTGAATATTTTATCATTCTCATTTTAATTATGGGCCCTAACACATCTGTTTTTTTTTCTCCTGTGATTACATTTTAGATTCAAACGGAAGAGAGAGGCTATGCTCTTCGGAAACGTGAAGTCAAGGAGAGACCCAACACCAATATCAAGGTAGAACATAAATCTTATTTAAGATAACTGTTATCTTGGTTACTAAAAGTGATTCCATCTCCTCTCTAAAAACAAAAATATACGTCACCGCCACCCTGTTGAAGTTTAATACTTACCTTGCTCTTGGGCAGTGTATGTTAAGTTTTCAGCTAATGCAGAGCTTTGGCACCACTACCATTCAAAACTAGATGTGTCTATAGGGTTCCCCTCCCTACCCCCTACATCAATACTGTCTTGAAGGGGTTGGTGGGGAGGAATCAGAACGCTGGCCCTCGGAGCCCAAGAGAGCAAGGATTTAACACACCCCTGCCAGAAACCTGTTTTTAACCTGTTCTTTTACAGGGTGGTTTGTTCTATATTAATTACAGAGGCCATAGGATCACTTTTAAAGAACAATCTTTCATGGGTTACAGCATCTGTTTTACTTGCACAAATTGTCAAGTGTTTTATTCACGAATCTTGTTTGTAAGAAATATTTTCCTCTCTTTTGTCATAGGATAAGCTTCTGGACCCATGGCACAGTCTGGACCCATTTCAATCTGCTGAAGATAAACCTTTTAAAAAAGGTAAGGAGTGCATCTTACAAAGTTCATTTCTTTTTTGATTTTCTTTTGAGAACTTTAGTGCAATAACTTAATTTTTTCACTTTATGTAAGGAAAACATTACACAGTTCCTCGAGGGGTAATAGATGATGAGTCCTCAAATAAAAGAAAGAGGAAACTTCCATGTAAGCTGCAGGATTTCATAAAGTGGTTTTCCAGTACATGTGAGTATTGTTCTTTGTAAGTGTATGTTTAAAACAGTAGATGCAGTTTGGACAGTGCCCAGTTTAAACAAAATAAAAATGCTGGATTCAGGTCACAACATACCTCTTCTAAGGTGTTTGACATGGAACTGCTTTAAGTTTAATATCAGGCAAACTGGCTAAATGCAAAGATAAAATACACACATATGTGCTTACTGTATATATGAGGTGTCTTGTATTTGCTTGTATGCATTTTTTGTTTTATCCCTTCATGAGATTTATACAGACCTGCCACACAGACTGATGACACCGCTTTCTCTTTTAGTTTTACCTGTACAAACTATTTAGAACGCTGTTTCCGTCTTTCTTGACTGTATTTTGCAAATCATTGTTTTACAGATTGGGATGGAGCAGAAGCTGTAAAACATAGGAGGAAAGGTCCAACATTTGCAGGTACGTTTTGCAGTGAAAATCCAAGATATTCATCTGGACTGTTAATTACATATGTTTCTTTGAAAATAAGCAAAACAAAAGGTGTCGCTGTTTTTATTTTGAGAGCTTTGCAATGTGCATGTGTTCCTACTGGTAGAAATAACTACATTTTTAATCACTTGCAATTAATTTCTGTCAATTGTGGGGTAGAAACATCCTGTACAGCGCATTTATCATTTTGGGTCTTCATTTGTGTGTGTTTTTATATACTGTATATATTCTATTGCATATCCTTTTTTAACTTCTTTAATTTGCAGATATGGATGCATTGTACTGGCAGCATGCCAAGCAAAGGCTAGCGGTGCAGAGACAGATCCAGAAAAGAATGGTAATGGCGTTTACATCTGCAATGTACAACTGTTCCTATACTGTAAAGTTTTATGCAGCGCTGCTTTTTTATAATTAATATTAAACTCTTCAAGATTTAGAACCCTGCAGATGCTTCATAAAAAAAGTTCAACAAAGTTTTTAGGATGCATCTCTAACGTCCAGCTCCTCCCCCCTGCCGCTGCTCCCTTTCTCTGCTATTACTAGTTGTCAGAATGTCAGCAAGTAATTTGCATTGTATTACACTGGAAGAGTGGCTATTAAAATGTAACCGTTCTCGTAAAATGACACTTGTAGTCTGTCATTGAATAGAGGCATTGAATCAATGTATTGATGAGGACCAAGCATCCTCCTTTTATATGTGAGCTCCCTTGGCCTATCGTGATTCTATCTCCTTTTTTCCTCATGTCTTCCCCTGTCCTGGCAGCCATATAAACATAACTCCCTCCGTAGTTCTGCTACTATTTTACAGGCCTAGTCAATATTGCCTGCTTTACTCTAAAATGTGGCCTAGGCTTGACACCTAGGCCTTTTAAACTTGTCCTCTCAAAACCTCCACCTTCTTGCCGGTGCAGATGTGTGCCCTGCTGGTGGCTGTTACTGTCTGGCATGTTTCTAAACTGGCAACCCCCCCTTAATTCTCTGCTTCCCTGCTTCAGGGCAGTTAACAGATACCTTTTTTGGCAAAAATAATCTCTACCTTTTTAGTTTTTCAATGTTGGAGTTTCAGCACGAAAAAATCAGCGTGACGAAAACGCCCTGGTGTGAACGGGGCCTAAGTGTGGGAGTGATAGTAATTAGAACTGGTGCAGAGGGAATGATGCAGGCATTGTCCTAGTGTGGGAGTGATAGTAATCAGGACTGGTACAGAGGGATTGATGCAGGCATTGTCCTGGTGTGGGAGTGATAGTAATCAGGACTGGTACAGAGGGAATGATGCAGGCATTGTCCTGTTGTGGGAGTGATAGTAATCAGGACTGGTGCATTAAGGATCAGGATCTGCTTCTTTGAAGATATTTCTGCAATAGCTGATGCTATTTTCAACCATGGTGGATCTTTTTGGACTAGGAATGCAGAAACCTGGCAGTTTAGTATGCTGGGGTCTCAGCTATATTTTTTCCTCCCCCCCCCCCCCCCCTTTTATATCATTTTCTTCTCTTTTGTTCATTGAAGGACACTGCGGAGATCTTGCAGAAGTTGGACACTAGCTGGCAGAAAAGTCGCCATCACCCTCTGATACATCTGCAGAGGAATAGGTTTTTCCTGGGATTTCTGCATCTTCTGGGAAAATAGGGGAGACAGATTTACCTAATTGCTAGTGATGATGAAACCTCTTCGTCTATTTTTTAGCACTTGTGCCTTGCAACAGAGGGGTCCCTGGTTCAAATCCCAGTCAAGACACTAAGTGCATGGAGTTTGTATGTTTGAATTGAAGATTCTGCGTATGCTTATTTGGAAGCTCTAGTTCCTTTTGGTACACAGAAGTCTAAAAGTTTGACTAAGACTTTCCCTTATGTCTTTTTTTTTTACATTTTATTTTTTTACAAAGAATGGGATTGCCCTTCTAGGATTTATGTACTTTCAAAAAACATTTCTTTACGATCTTCTTTTGAGGAGAATTTTCTTTAAAAAAGTCTGTTTTTTGGAAAATAATAAAAAGTGAAACAAAAGGAGAAATGAAAAACAAAACGTCTCCTCCTATTGTAGACTCACCAGTGTCTAGGCTGAATAAGGCTACTGTGATTCTAGTCCCAGAATCTCCTTTTTCAAAGATCCAAAAGACAGGAAAGCAGAATCCATAGTGAGACCTATGTACTCCATCCCTGGCCACAGTGCTTGTATTCCAAACGCCTTCAGAATGTGCAAAACTTTTGTGCCAGAGACTGGAGAGTGAACATGTTTCTCCTGTCTGTGGAACTGGTGGATCAATAATTCATCGTCTTCAATACGTGTGTAACGATTCGTCTGGTTACCTTATTTCCAGAATTTCTGTTTCGACTGTCATTCTTCAATGTGTATTGTGGCTTAAAGTGACACTGAACTCTTAAAAGTTAAATCTTAAAAATGCATTATAAACTATTAACAAAAATGCATCTTATTTGTATATCACTCAGCTGTAGATCCTCAAATCATCTCTGAATTGGTGCTGACACTGTCCTTCCTTCTGGGGGGTGGCTGCTTTTGTTCCCCATGGTCCGTGTGTGTTGTAAAGTAGCCACTGCTCCAAGCTCACTCCTCTGATGGATTATAATCTCATGTTTTAGTTTACTAATTGTTAATTTGATTATAGTCCATTACAGGAGTGAGCTTGGAGCGGTGGCTACTTTACAGCACACAGGGGCATAAGTAGCCACCCTCCAGAAGGAAGGACAGTGTCAGCACCAATTCAGAGATGATTGGAGGATCTACAGCTGAGTGATACACAAATAAGATACATTTTTATTAATAGTTAAGGTACTTGAATGCATTTTTAAAATGTAACTCCCGAGTTTAGTGTCAATTTAAATGTTGGTCAGCTGACCAGACTTCTAAGAAAGCTGTTACGTATTCATATTTTAAGGGTGATAGTTTGCGGCAAAGCTGGATGATATAATCAAAAAAAATTCACGGGAGGCAAGTAAGGTACATAGGAGTAATCAAGGCCCTTTCTTTTTCATCTCACAGATGTATTTTTTATGTTCCATAATAATTAAGCAAAAATAGTTTTTCTGCTTTGTGTTTTTCCAGTTCCACACTGAGTAGTCTAGTTATGATTAAAGGAATATAGTTTAAAGCCTTGGTTCTCAACTGGTGGGTCGTGACCCAAAAGTGGGTCACGACCCCATGTTCAGTGGGTCGCGGCATGCCTTGCTTCTAGGTGTGAGACTCCTCAGCCTCCCCCCAGAGCAGCACCATCTGTTCTTGTGCCGTGCAGCCATTCAAAATATGGCCCTGCGTGTCAACTTGAGGTGGGGTGGGCTGGAAGTATGTTCATAAGGGAGCTCCATCCATATGTGCATTGCTTACAGCTCCCACATGTGCCCTGTAGAGGTGCCTGGATTGATGTCACATTCTGGCTTCCGACACCTCTACAGGGAGTGCAAGGGAGCTGTACAAACAATGCACATATGGATGGAGCTCAGTCACACCACAACAGCCCAAACTGGACACCAGGCTGAGGATCCATTCCAGTTCTCATGGAAGGAGACTGCATGGATCTTAAAAAAAAAAAAAGATTATATGTTTTTTGGAGTGTGTGGTTGTGTGTGTGTGTCTGTGGGTGACTGTCAGTGCTTTTGAGGGTCCGTTCACGCTAGTACAGCACGTTAATCACACAGTCTCATGTGATTAATGCATTGTAACACGCAATCGCATCTACTGCGTGTTCTGGTGTGGAAGGTGCATTGCGTTGTCATTAATATGAATGACACTCCAAATTAACCTCCCACCCACAGTTAGATCGCCTGCACCCAAATGCCCGGCGACTGCGGTTTACGACTTAATGACCAAGGACAAATGTGGGTCCTGAGGTTACACAGGTTGAGAACCACTGGTTTAAAGGGTAGGAGTAACTTTTACTATGTCCCCGCCTCTTATAGTCAGACCATATGCCTTCAAGGTGTGTTTGATCCCCTAATGAATGCAATACAATATGATGATATAAAAGTTTTTTGTTTAAAAAGAAAAATAATATTGTCATATTAAGACATATTTAGTCTCCATAGAATAATAATGAGCTTTGTAACATTTATATAATGACTGATGAAGATAAAGCTCCCCTGAATGGCATACACAAGCAGGCTCATTGTTGCACTTTTTGGGACAGCCGAAGACTGTATGTGAATGAATGCACACTTAATTACAAATCTTTTATTAACATCTACATTTCTTGTTAGGGACCACTAGTTACCAAGGTAGCAGACTTATTTGCTGAAGAGGAACCAGCTAATCCCATGGAGGAACCACGTGAAGATAATTATCTTGATCATGAGGATTGTGCAGGTTTGCTTGAGAACTTTCTTTTTCTCCATATATGTGTGACTTAATTAGCAATAGTAGTTGACCTGTCTCTGGCTTCCAATGAATGAGCTGTTAAAGTATAACTGCTATAATGTATTCATCTCTTTTGGTTCTGAGAGTTAATTTGCAAATATCCACCTGACTGTCAACACCCTGACATATTTATTGTCTGCGCTGTACTGTTCATGTGTCAGGATGGCTGACTGTAAGCAAGTTAAACACAACAGAGAATCTTGGCTACTTATAGACATACGGTGCCTATTATTTACAAGCTAGAGAACATGATCTGACTATTCTATTGCAGTTTGTCATTTTTACATTTACTTAGTCTTATTTGCTTTTTTTTTTTTAAAGACCTTTCTGACCATGAAGATTTGGGCCACACTATTCCAGCCATCTTGACAGAAGAACCAGGGTGTGAAAACATTGGTAATGCTAAAAGTGGGATATTGGGGTATTTTGGAATTGTGAGGTGATCATATTCATGTTGGTACATAGAGATGTTTGAAACAGATTTTCACACATAAAAATTTTCTAAAAAGGTTTAAAGAATTGTTCCTCTTTAAGGGGAAACATACTGCCACAAAAATAGTGATAATTTAATATAATGTTGGGAATTGTCGACATATTAAAGACACTCTCCCTTGGATTGCCACAGACACTTAGGGGTTGATTTACTAACCTTATAAACACACCACGAACGTGTATACACCTCTGCAGTGTGTTCCCTCCCAGCATGATCTATGGGTGGAATCTAAACACCTTTGTAATGTGTACACACCCAGCAGGTGTGTTGTGCAAAGCCCTGCATGAATTGCAAGGTGATGTTGTGTAAATTAGCTCTACATTGTGTTGCTTGCGTTGATGAATGCAAGGAATGTAAATGCATGAGCTAACCATTTTTGTCTAAACTGTGAAGCAGCATTATATATGCATCATGTGCATGATTTTTACATATATGGCATTAGTGGAAATATGCTTTTAGAGACTTTTTGGTTGATAAATACGTTTTGCTGTGTGAAAATCACACACACCTGATGTGTGTGTGTGTTTAGGTTAGTAAATCACCCCCTTAAGCTCAAGGATGGGGGGCATTGAAGACTTGTGGGTCCAGGAATTGGAACCCAACTTAGAAACAAAAGTATATTTTGATGGATGGATGTAACTGGGTGTGCAGCGCTCAGGGTCACCAGTGAGTGAATTAAATCAGTGTTAGCATATTTAACTTAATGAGTGTTAATAATCATAAATATCAGTAATAGCCAGTGAACAAAGGTCTCAAATCGTGCACGGATACATAAAATAAATGGTGGATCAAATATATACAATTTCAAATATGAAAAATATATGCAAAAATTTATAAAAATCTCAAGCTTATCAAAGTGATATATAGCAAAATGAGTGCAAAAGTGTATAAAAGTGGGTAAAAAATGTGTATAATATTATAAATAATTCGTTAATTGGATGTGAGTCCAAAAATAGATAATTTGTGAATCCAAAAACAATTTAAATCTTCAGTGTCAGCAACACGTTAATGATGATAGAAATCCCACACCGCAGTGTCTACGTCTAAGTCCCCTCTGGGATGCGCACTCACCAGACCAGGATATTCATAAGCAGAAGGAGATGATAGTTGGTGATCCTACGGTCGTCTCGTCCTCACCATATGGATCAGTATTTTATCAAAAAAATATAAAAGGGACAAGAACTCCTCATGGTGTAGTCGATTGAATGCTTTATTGAACAAAAAAAGTAGCCACTTACATTTAAAATCACTAAAACCGGCCACTCACACGTCTGTGAGTAAAACCTCTGTACTTCCTGGTTGCGTGTGATACCGAGAAGTGTAGCCCCGCCCCAACGCGTTTCGTCATACAAAGACGTCTTCAGGGGGATCGCAGGTCTGAACCATGAGGAGTTCTTGTCCCTTTTATATTTTTTTGATAAAATACTGATCCATATGGTGAGGACGAGACGACCGTAGGATCACCAACTATCATCTCCTTCTGCTTATGAATATCCTGGTCTGGTGAGTGCGCATCCCAGAGGGGACTAGACTTAGACCTTAGACGTGGACACTGCGGTGTGGGATTTCTATCATCATCGTTTCGTCATACAAAGACGTCTTCAGGGGGATCGCAGGTCTGAACCATGAGGAGTTCTTGTCCCTTTTATATTTTTTTGATAAAATACTGATCCATATGGTGAGGACGAGACGACCGTAGGATCACCAACTATCATCTCCTTCTGCTTATGAATATCCTGGTCTGGTGAGTGCGCATCCCAGAGGGGACTAGACTTAGACCTTAGACGTGGACACTGCGGTGTGGGATTTCTATCATCATTAACGTGTTGCTGACACTGAAGATTTAAATTGTTTTTGGATTCACAAATTATCTATTTTTGGACTCACATCCAATTAACGAATTATTTATAATATTATACACATTTTTTACCCACTTTTATACACTTTTGCACTCATTTGCTATATATCACTTTGATAATCTTGAGATTTTTATACATTTTTGCATATATTTTTCATATTTGAAATTGTATATATTTGATCCACCATTTATTTTATGTATCCGTGCACGATTTGAGACCTTTCTTCACTGGCTATTACTGATATTTATGATTATTAACACTCATTAAGTTAAATATGCTAACACTGATTTAATTCACTCACTGGTGACCCTGAGCGCTGCACACCCAGTTACATACTATTTGACCCTAGTGTCCCTAGTACAGCACCTCTAATATATAGTTATACATTATTTATTTATTTTCTATATATTTTCATTTGTTTAATTAAAGTATCCATATCGATCTATAAGCGCGGATTATACATATTTCACCTTTTATATTTTGATGGAGAATAGGAAGGTATCAACCTGCATAGTTGGTCCTTAGCTTTGTATAGCTGGGGTAAGTGAGCCAACAACTGCTAGGTCCCTGCTTAAAAGAGAACCATGGGTTAAGTGTTTTTCCCCATAGTTCTCCTAAGGGTCACGGGAGGACATATACTAGCGTCCTCCCGTGACCCAAAGCTCAGTATATTGCAAGCTACAGCTGGCGGTATACTGAGACCGCCGCAGCCAAGACGGATCCCGACAATGCTGTCAAGATCCACCCAGCTGTGTGAATGACAACTGACAGTCACCGTCTCTGCAGGTAGATGATCGAGAAGTGAGCGAGCGATGGTATGTGTTCGCTCACTTCCCGATCTATTGAGCCGACATGTGACAGTTTCATTGTCACACGTCGGCTCGAACTGTGAGGATGAGTAATTTTTCACTCACCTCATAGTTCTCCTTTTAAGGATTTTGATTGGCCCAGGTTTGGGAAATGATTGTTGAGGCTGGCATGGGTTGGAGGGCAGAGCCCACCAAAGAGTAGATGGACCTAGAAATTGCTTCTAATTTCTTGTCAGTAGGGTTCTTAAAGGAAGGAGTGTTTTCTTTGGGAATAATCAAAGCTATATTGATGCGAGACGCAAGTGGGGCTAGAGGGAGGAGACAATAAGTGGAACTTCCAGCCTCAATTAGAAAGGAAACTTGCCTTTTTAATTGAGACAGCAGGTGACTTAAATTCGGCTGGTGGGATCTCCTCTAGGGAAGGGAGGGACTAAAAATGCAACAACAAATCTCTAGAGGATTCATGACAAAATCGAGCATCTGTGCATCAGATTCTAATGGGGACGATGGTGGTGGGCTTCATAAATCCTTGTCTTAACAAAAAAATTCTTCTTCCGTGAGGCAGGAAGAGTGATGAGCACCCAAAGTGACCACTGATGCATGTGGATCCGACTGGGGTCTGTAGGAGTTGCAAGAAGCACAATCCCTTCTTAGGCCTATTTAGAGTACAAAAGGGGGCTGGTTAGATCACCTGCAATTGAATAGTGGCCACCCTTCCGTTTTGCGCCAGACATGCTAAAAAAGCAGAGGTTGCTGTAGCAGCAAAAATGTAGACTTAGAGCAGCAGAGAGAAGATCTATGACCAAAACTGCAATCTTATAATACATCTGTCACATTTGTCTTACTGTTCCTGCTTGGCATTGCCTTGCTGTGCAGCAGAATTGATAAATCTTCCTACGTGTTCAAATGTTTTTGATGGTTTGGGGAAAAGCAGGGGGGCTTGTAGTAAAAGATAACTAGCTGTATGCAAGATGACTTCTGATGCAACTCTTAGGTTACATTTCTTACTGATTCATGTATATTCTATTCTTTCCCCCTATAGAACCAATTGACTTCCAAGACCAGATATCATATGAGGAATTGGTGAGAAAAAATGTGGTAGGTGTCATTGTTTTTCATACACTGTTAAAGTCAAGCATAGCTTTTATTTCTTTTATGTCCATTGAGGTACACAGGAGTTGTGAACCAGTGATGTTATAATGTCACCTTCAGGAGGTTGCTACACTGGCGAAAAGATTGTAAACCAGCCTCTGTGTAAGCCCTCAACTACCCAGCATGCCTCAGCTTTTTCTATTGCTCTAGGACAGGGGTAGCCAAACTCCGGACCTCCAGCTGTGGTGGAACTACAAATCCCATGAGGCATTGCAAGATTCTCACAGCCACAGACATGACTTCCGGAGAGAGATGCATCGTGGGATTTGTAGTTTCACCACAGTTGGAGGGCCGGAGTTTGGCTACCCCTGCTCGTGGAGGTTGAACACTTTCTTCAGCTCTACTTAAATAAAAGAAGTTACTATTTTTGTGCTGGCCTTTGTGATTTTGTGATATAGTCCTGTAAATTAAAGAAATGCACTTTTGCCTACTTCTTTTTTTTATTTTTAGGAGCTTTTCATTGCCAATTCTCAGAAGTATGCACAAGAGACAGTACTCTCCTTACGTGTGCGGGAGTGGGAGGATAAAATGGGCCCACAGCTGCACGAACAGGTAGGAAAGACGTTAAACCGCCTCAGACCTTTTCCTACCCCAGGTAGATTTTTTTTTTTTTTTATTCTGTCTTGATGATTTGTATTGAGATTTGCATCTGAAGTGAAATATGTAAATTAAAAATGGAACATTCTAAAGCAGGCTTTCTCAGCCAGTTTCCTGGAAACCTAGGGTGCCTTCAAAGGGTGCTAGGGGTTCCTTGAGTAATAGCAGGTTCATTTACTTTCTGATGGTGCCCTTATAGTTTTGGCACCAATGTCACTAGGCTGGGTCTCAGTTAAGTAACCCCTGGCGCAAATTATCTCTTTAGCGGTCTGTAAGTTAGACATTCTTCCCACTGTCCACTAATGTCAAGCTGGCCATACACTATTTCATCTGATTGTGCAGAGATTGTACAATCTTCTTTTAGACTTGCAAAACGATGTAATATAAGGACAATCCTAAACAGTTCATTGCATTTGTAACAAATCAGGTAGGCCCTTGCACTACATAGTTATTGTACATTCTCCTTTATATCTACCATCAGATTGTATAGTGTATGGCCATCCAACCTGGTAAACCCAGTGTAAACGGGCATTCTTTCCCCCACCACAAGTATAAGGGTGCACCTCTGGCCACTAATGTAAGGGGGCACTGACCATTAATGTAACTGGCAATTTTTCCATTGGCTGCCAATATATCGGTGTCTTTCTACCCACTGACCCCCAATATAAGGCAGTGCTACTATTTTCACTATTTGTGTTTCTTGTTCAGCCCTTTGTTATTGTGTTTATGTTTAGAGCGTGGGGGGTTAAATGATCTGCTCTGGGTGTCGGATAACATTGGTACACCACATTCCTTTATTATTACGGTTTACGGAACACACTCATTTACCATAAGCTGTATTTGTAATCTTTTAGTAGGGTATCCCGAAGACCTGACCATTATTTCAAGGGGTCCTTTGTGGAAAAAGAGAGAGGGTGAGGAGTTATACAAGACCATTATTACAATCGTTTCCTCGACATTTCTTTTCCCCCCTCTACATAGGAAGAACGGGGAGCTTTTGATATTCATGATTATGGCGATCGTCTAGTTTCACAGTTCAACCAAGTAGGAGAATGGCGCACCTTTGCAAGTCTAATGGCACAGAGAGAGCCCTATGAGGTGTGCAGGTACATGCTGGCATCCTTGCAGCTGGTGAGTTTCCTTAGTCTTTTTCATCTCTACATTTTAATAATAATGCTAATTTTTTAAATAAAATTCAAACTTTATATAGGGGGGGGGGGGGGGTTTTTC